ACATTCACTCCAACGTAAACAACACACCGCGACTGACGTTCTCCGTAAATGGACGCTTATCTCTGCTGCAAGTAAACAGCCAACTTACAGAAACCTGCCCTGTGTACAGAATAAACTAGTCCTCACAGCTCCCTGACTTCGGACATTAGACGAAACGAACTCATTGTACGTGGTTTAATTTGATCTCGCATCACTTATCGCCACAAATTGGTGACCCGGAATTTCCGAACACGGGAATTTATTAGACGTTTATCAGTCCTCCTTTCATCGTCAGCACCGCCTCCGGCGACGAGACATCAAAGCCCGTTCCCTCTACATCGCACGTCTCCGCAAAACTACCAACTTTTTGGCCACGAAATGTCAAGCTTTGGATTGCGCGTTGCGATGCCGAATTCGAAGCATGTAACATCACTCGTCAAATGACCATGTTCAATCATTTGCAGCGTTGTCTTCCTGATGAGTATGCAGAGGAACTCTGAGACCTCATCCACAGCCCTTTGGAACAGCCTTATAACAAGTTGAAAGAGGCTCTAGTTAAGCGCGCAGCCATGACAGAGGAGCGTTGACTAGGACAACATCTCACTATCGAAGAGCTCGGGAACTGGAAACCTGCTCAACTACTAGGCAGGATGCAACAGTTTGTTGGCAAACGTAAGTTCGGGACCTCCATCCTTCGCCACCTTTTCATCCAGCGCCTCCCACTCGACAACCAGACAATATTTGCTGTTTCTCAAGGGGGCAGAGAAGAATTAGCAGAGCTTGCCAACAAGGTCGTGGCATTGGCGGTCACTGAGACTCATTCATTAAGTCACACCGCCAGACCAATTTCTCGGGAATATGATCAGCGCCTTGAGCAACTCGAGCAGTTGGAAATGGAGTTGACAATCAACTCCGTGCAGTTGCGCAGGAGGCCCGCGGCGATCACGAGGCCGTTGGCGAAGTTCCTCACGTTCCTGTAATCGCCGCCAGCAGTCATCATGTGGCATATGCTGGTATCACCAGCAATTTGGAGAAGCAGCACGACGATGTCTGCAGCCATGTTCATTTAAGCCACCTCTTAAGGCCTCGGGAAACGATTCCGCCCGGCAGTAGAGGCGGATGCTGCCGGAAGCGCTGCCAATCTCCACACTCGCAGGATTGTATCGCTTGTACCAGATTCCTTGTCGAGCCCGCCGTTAGTGTTTACATGAGACACCTGCAGATGGCGTCGTCGGAGATTGTGGATTGCCAATTTACGGCGCCTCTAGAGCGTTTGTCGCAGTGGTGCAGAACCCACGATTTTTCCGTCAGGTAAGCTGTTTCAACGAAGTTGAGCAACAATGTAGGCCTTTCGGTTCGAAGGCCGTGAATCGACTTAATAAACCTGAAGAAATATTGAATCTCACTACCGTCAGCGCACCCTTGTATTTCTTCAATCTTGTGATTTATTCAGGCATTTCCTTTTCACTCAGACGCTGTAAAATCAAGCTCCCACATTTGGAGGAAGACCCTCCTTTAAGCTCGATGCTGTTTTTTAAATAGGTCATGTGCAGTCTACTCTTTTCCAAGAGTACATTTACAGATTTTTATTCATTGAGCTCGAATCAGTTCTGAGGTTGATTGCGTACAGGATCCAGGTCGCCGATAATAGTAGAGTGGATAACATTCCGCAAACCTCTCCATTGTGTCTCACTTAGTGCGTCTGCTTCAGTGCTTTGCGTTTGTCCATGGCTCAGTTAAAGACGGTTGTTAAAACTTAATCATCGGTCATCTTTGTCTAAAAATACGGTATTTAACATAGTTGATAGTCGCCTACTTTGTAGATGCATGCGAACTTGGAGTTGCAGCCGAACCTTGTAGACGATTGGAAGATGGTCCTTTTAGAAGTGGGTGGCACACACTGTGTTTGTCACCAACACATCGCGCTGACAACGCCTCCGATCTCAGGAAATCAAACGAGATCGCATTCACGTAAACTCTTCATGCATCAGAAGGTGGAGAAAGGTGCCAATCAGGAAAATACTGTGTTACGTACAAGCCTTGAGAAGGAGAAGGTCCTCGTTGCTTCATTTTTGATTCCGTTGCGAACGAAGTCTTTCTCCCAGGCAGCATGGCGTGCACCGAAGAGGCACTGAGGTGGCCC